AAAAGACTAGGAGAGGGAGATTTACTCTGTGTATGCCAGTGGATTATTTCATCTTTGGGATTTTTTTCTTAGCCTTTTTGTCTCCATTTTATTGCCAGTTCCAGTAGTGTATCATAATATACATCAAGAACTGTAATTCTCTTATATGAATGTGGTGCTTTAAGAGTGATGTCAGACGCTGCTGTTTTAAAGTCAGACTTGCAGCACATGCAGAGAAAAGGATGAAATGTGAAATGGTCTTTAAGTAGGTTCTGATTGAAGAGCGATGTTGAATTGGAATATCAATTGTGCTCTGCAAGATACTGTTTAGCAACTTTTGTCATGCTGTCCACTTCGGTTCACTGGTCTCTTGTGCACGGCAGACTTCTTGTTCACTTCAGTACATGTTTGCAGGTCTGAATCAGATGCTGTAGCCATGTTTTTCACATCATCTGAACTTCAATTCTAATATTATCTTATAGGTTGTGGTTTGTCCTTCTCGTGTGGTTTTCCCCCGTCCTTTACCCCCTTTTACTATCACTGACAAATCTACAACTTTTTCTGCCGCCCTCATCTTTGCTTCTGTAACCTGCTTTCTGCCAGCCCTTCTCTCTGCTTCATAGTGTCGCAGCACATACTTCAATATTTCATTCTTTAGCCAATAGCAAGTTGTGTGCTTCTTTTCTTCCCCTGCACCGTTTTAACCTGTAAAAGCCTCAGTGCTTTCTGGTTCCCAGCTTTGTTCTTTGCTGGAGCTTGCCGTGTTACTCATTGATCTTTATCTGTTTTCTGCTGCTCATCTCTGCCTGGGGAAGCCTCTCAGAAATTGGAGGCTGGAGATTGCTGAATAAAAAAAAATAATTAACAAACCTGAATTAGGGTATGCTCAAGTACCTTTTCTGAGGTTTATTTTCAGATGTTAAAATTACCTGAGCTGTGAAAAGAGATAAAAATTAGGGTTGTACTAATCTCCTCATGGTGTTTCCCCTCCAACAGTCGGATAGTCTATGCTAAATCCTCATTACTTTATTTTCTGATGAGGGCTAAACATTTATTTCTTGGAGCTAAAATCCTCCCTACCTGCAACTTACTATGCCATATATTAAGTTTTTTTGTCAAAGAAGGAATAGATGGAGGCATTTGTGAACGTGTAGGAAGTTCCTCAGGGCCATTCCTCCAATCTGTAGACTGGAGCAGGGCACTTAGGCTTCTCCCTCTTTCCCATCCCTGTGTGTCTTTGGACAACTGTTTCTGTGGTACCCACTCCCATGGTTTCTTGAGATCTGAATCACAATTCCCTTCAACCTGCAATTCTTCAGTAAAATTATGAAGAAAAGTTTCCTTGTCACTGCTGACTTCCCTGCATTCAGGTTCATCCAGTGTTCTTAAACCACACCATAAGCTCTGGATAGTTTCCTCTGCATCCAGTTCCGTTTTACTAAACACTTAGTACAGACAGGAAGAAGGGGCTTTGGCTTGCAAAGATAAAAAAGGTTTGAAAATGCTCATCAACAGCCTTAAGTCTCTGTTGTTTTTAATAGGGGCTCCTGAAGAAGTGTTACTCTGCCAAGGCCTCCTACCTGTTTCAGCAGGTCAAGTTCTACGATGTCAGCTATGACACTGGTGACAAGTCTATTCAGTGCAGCAGGCGTCCGGATGCATTCAAGTTCTGGCTGATGTGGAAAGCCCTGGGAACCACAGGCCTGGAGGAGAGAGTGAACAGGGCACTGGCTTTAGCTAGGTACTGCCTCACAGCTTTGAATGTGTCTCGTCTGTTTAATTCGCTGAAGTGTTGACACTGCTGATACTCCATGTCCCGGAACAGGCCACATGGTAACTTCTTTCCAATCTCCTTGTGTTTGTGTATGATAGGAGGAAGTAATAGCAGTAATGATCAGTGTTATAACATTTACTACAATATTTAATAGTAATTATTACTTAGAGCAATAAGCATGGATGTTGGTAAACACAGAAGTCCAAATTAGACTATCAGTCTACATTGTTTAACATTTATGTTATCTGAACAAGACATAAAACAGATTTACTGATACCATCCTCTTATAACTCATAACTGTGTGTTCTGGTGTTGATGTAGAAGCAGCCCCATGTGCCAGGCTCTGAGCTGTGCCTAGCAAGAAGTGGATTAGCTGTTCTGCCCGCTTCATTCATCATGACCATGGAAACACAGAAAGTAGATGATGTGCGGAAATTCCTATGAGGGCCCTGTTAATGTTAGGAAGTAGTAGAGGTTTATGAAGGCATATTGTTCTTAAGATGCTGCTTGTTTTTTCTCTACAAGTTTGCTGAACTTCTTAATGCCTACAGGATGCTCTGTGAGGGACCAAAGCAACTTTTTCTTGAGATCTTCCCTTGCCCACCCTGTTCAATTTTATTAAGTGTTTCGTTTTGCAAACTGAATTTCACAAGTAAGTTCTGAAAAATTCTTGCTGGAAGGTGTTTCTGAAGTAACGATGGTGTCTCAGAATTTATGTAAGACGAACAATAATGAAATCTTCACCAGTTCCTGGGCTAGCTACACACTACTATGAGTCAGATCATTAATATTTTAAAGCAGTCACCCATATCATATTGCCATTTTATTTTTATATGAACTAGCAAGTTGAAAATAATTGAATGCTTACTCCAGTGAAAATTAAAGGAATAGTCTCATTTTTACACAGTCACTTAAAGAGAAGGTAAAAATATCCATGACCTAAACCCAGACTGGATTAGAAAGGGATAAAAAGAAAGAAGCAAACCCAGAAAAGCCCAAATAAGCTGTGACTTTTTGCTCTATTTTATTTCTTTAAAGCTGTTTTTTGCTTGGCTGGTTAAGTGTTCCTTAATATCTTCTGGTTAAATTGCAACTTGTTTTTTGTTCCAAAGCATTGTATGTTCTGTGTCTGTACAGAGTAAGTAATCCATTCCGCTATCAGTAGGAGAATTCAGCTTTGCCAAGGTCACTGGCCAAGGTTGTTTGACTGAGAGTGTAGTGATTAATGACCTTTCTGGGATCGATACTTTCTTTAAATGTTAGGATTTAGCTGGTAATGCTTCTAAGGAGTGATTTGGTTGTGCCTATTTATTTTTTATTTTTCTTTAAGGAGAAATTTAATTCTTAGTCATTATCTGATGAAATATATTCTTTACAGCAGCTAAATTGCTCTCTTGAGTTTGTGTGGACATGGGCACTTTGCATCTGAGACATCAGGTTTACTGGGCAGTATGCCAGGTTTCCTAACTACTCAACATCTGTGCAGCCTTTCTGCTGATTTGTTACAGTAGGTGTTACTTTGATGTTGCAAAGACAGGATTTCAGAATTCCTGAGCAGACCTAGATTAATTCTGGAACTGGTCCACTGACTGTATAACTTAGGGTAATATTACTTATTTTTTTTCCCCATGACCGGGCAGAGCTGCAAAGGTTTTAGGTTGACTGCAGGCATATATTTCCATTGCATCAAATTTTACTTGGCTATTCCATTAATTTCTTCTTGTTCTGAAGATAAATAATGTTTTTAGCTTATTAGATATCTGAGGAACATTGTGATACTACCTATTTGGAAAGGCTCATTTTTAAAATACAATAAAGCATCCTGCTGATAACTTCAGAATATTTTTTCCACATATTTTTGACACAAGGATCTTGCTTTATGAAGTACACTAAAAAAGAAAATATAAGTAAATTGGTTTTTGAATACAATAGTAAAAAATCTATTTTATGCTTCAGCATCTTTGCAGTTTTTCTGCCTGGTTCTTCTTCTGACACCCACTCTTAGCAGACATATGTCTACTCTCGCTGCAGATCTCCACCCTTGATTTTCTGCAAGTCTTAATCATAGTAACTACCACTTTTCTGTACACTCCAGTCCTCACTGAGACTCAAACCATTCCAACATTCTACAACTGTGACAACATAATAAAAACTCCACTGTCAGCTGTGGAAAGATGCACAGAGTAAATTGCTCCACTTCCATCAAATGGTCCTGGCAAGATAAATCATGGGTAATAGATTCTCTAATGGCTGCCTTCTTAGTATATTGGCAATGTAGTTAAGAACATGATTAACAGTGTTGTGAGGTTGACCGACATCAGACATCCTATGTCAGATGGTGGTATAATAAAAAAGGCACTTAGGGTAAGAGGGAGGAGTATTAAGCATTGTAAAATAGACGTAACAATTCAGGACCTCAAAAAAAAACCTCAAAAGAAAGGGTCACTGTCTTGTGAATAGCCTGCTGATTTTGCTCAATGTTGGGGATATTGCACAAAGAAGTATCTTCTAATCAGCTGGACAAAAACACTGAGCTTGTTTTACCTAAGACAATTCCCCTACAGAAACGAGTTTCCCCCAAGACACTCACATGATATCTAGCCCCCTGCTTTCCTTTCAGCATGCCCCTCTTTCAGCCTAAACAATAATGTGGGCATTAACAGCCAGGTAGCAATCAAATGCACACAGTAGGATCTAAATGGTAATGGCAGAAAAGACCCAGAAGCTCGACTTGTTACAGAGAGAAGAAACATCTGGGCGCGGTGCACAGCGCTGTGCAACTTGTAAAGCTGCATGCCGTGGGAACTGGCACCCTACCACAGCAGTTTTGTAGGGTTGTGTGCTACGAGGTGATGAGTCACAGGCACAATACTTGTTAATGATAAACAGTGGGACAACTCCCCATGCTCTGTTTGGAAAAATATCCAGGGTATTGTTTACTGCCTCCCCAGCCAACCTGTTTCTGCAGCACGGCTGCGAATAGCAGGCATTGCAGATACAACTGTACTAAAGGTGTCCCTCTGGGGACGTATTTCAGGCATGTGGATAGCACCAAGGGAGGTTATTATGATAATATTTTTCTTCCTCAAGTAGTGGGTAAAAGTATTATTTGTATGGTGACCAGTAATGCAGCTGCAGGTAAGAAAATTACAAATAAATGCTGCCAAAGACCAGATTTGTACACAGTCTGTAGTTTAACTGTCTCATTTCTAGTATTGTTAGGCAGTAAAATCTTCGTGCAGAAGAGTAAAATTCTGTTGAAATGGAAAAAGCTGTGTGAATTTGAGGTGATTTCTTTATAGAATTCTCCTTAGGAAGGCTTTTGCAAGGGAAGTAAAGAGAGAAGTCCCAGCTACATCAAGCTTCAGAATTGCTGTGTGATGTGTGCTGTGGCAAAATTGAGGTCATGTGTTAAAAAAAAAAAAAAAGTAGAAGCTCTTTGGATCCAAAGTTTTGATTCAAATCCATCTTCCTATTAAAGGCCTCTATGTTTTTCATACTGACAGGGTGAGAGAGAAAAGAAATACCTATTTCAGTGCATTGTTAGCGTAGGATGCCCAGGGATTATTGTGCGTCAGCAGTGGCTCACTGAATGGAATCATGAGTTATCATGTACGCTGTGGAACAAGGACAGTACTGGGAAAATTGCAGGGCTTAAAGTACATAAAATTTTTTTAATTGTGAGCTAAACTAAGAGGTCCTGCCAACAGTAGTATTGCAAGAGATGTCAGTGTGACCGTGAAATAACGTAGCAGCACAGCATCAGCGCTTGGGATAAAAAAAGAGATGGAGGAATTAATTTGTAGAGAGCATCATCAGTGGAAATCTGCATTGGGAAGGTTCACAGCCTGATGCAAACAGGATCAATTTGTGCCATGTGGCTCCACTGAAAATCTGTGCCTGAGGACAGAATTTGGCCTCTACTCGTGCTCCCTGGCTGGCCTTCATTTGTTTCCAGGAACTGCTAGCTACTGCATTTTCACAGAAGGTAGAAATGAGATTTAACTCTGTGGTTTCTTCAGGGCGGGGAAAAAGGGAAGAAAAAACAAAAGGAGGTAAAAAGTGTGTATATGTTCAATACCTTTGCTGTTATTGTTGTCTGTATATATTATTTTGTTCTATGCTTTAAACCTCTGCATTTTTGATTACAGATACCTAGTGGAGGAAATTAAGAAAAGAGAAGGATTCCAGCTTCTTTTGGAAGTAAGTGAAAATGGAACTAAATTGTTGTTATGGAAAGGGGTGTCTGATTTTGTTTTGTTTAGCAAATTGCCAATTTGCGTTTGAAGTATATATTTTAATAAGTTTATGTGTTGAGATACACAGATATGATTGAACATACATAACGTGCTCTGTATTCCCTACTATGACTCTACCTATTTTCCTAGCTGCTGGGTCTAGATGGGGTATAGATGGGTCTAGGGGGTATAGATGGAGCACTTTTCTGTGAAAGCAAAGAGTCTAGCTGCAAAAAAAAATAATGGTTGCCAGACTTACAGTTAAGACTGTGCTGGATGAGTCCAGCCCTGTTCAATGTATTCATCAGTCACCTGGACAGAGGGACAGAGTGTACCCGCAGCAAGTTTGTTGATATAAAAACTTGGAGGAGTGACTGACACACCAGAAGGCTGTGCTGCCATCCAGCATGATGTGAACAGGCTGGAGAGTTGGTCAGGGAGAAACCTAATGAAGTTCAACAAGGGCAAGTCTGAAGTACTTCATCTGGGGAAGAATACCACCACGTTTCAGTACAGGTTGGAGGCTGGCCTGTTGGAGAGGAGCTCTGGGAAGAAGGACCTGGGAGTCCTGGTGGATGACAGACTGACCATGAGCCAACAATGTGCCCTCATGGCCAGGAAGGCCAATGGCATCCTGGGGTGCATGAAGAAGACTGTGGTCAGCAGGTCAAGTGAGGTTATCTTCCCTCTCTACTCTGCTCTGATGAGGCCTGACCTGGAGTACTGTGTCCAATTCTGGGCTCCCCAGCTCAAGAAAGATGAGGATCTACTGGAGAACATTCAGTGCAGGGCCACTAAGATGATGAGGGGACTGGAGCATCTACCATACAAGGAGAGGCTGAGAGAGCTGCATCTCTAGCTTGGAGAGAGGAGACTGAGGGAGTGCTTAGAAATACTTAGAGTGGGTGTCAGGAGAATGGGGTCAGACTCTTCTCAGTGGTTTCCAGAACTCCCAAACTTCTGAACTTACGACAATCACATACCTGATGGAAGAAAAACCTAACAACATTTCCCCCCAATGGGGAAATGGTCACAAACTGGAAAACGGGAGCTTCAGCATAAGCATAAGGAAATACTCCTTTACGGTGAGAATTAACAGAGCACTGGGACAGGCTGCCCAGAGAGGCTGAGGAGTCTCTGTTGACTTTCAAAACCTGCCTGGATGTGTTCCTGTGTGATTCCCTCTGGGTGATCCTGCGCTGGTGGGGGAATTGGACTAGATGATCTTCAGAGGTCCCTTCCAATGCCTGCCAGTCTGTGATTCTGTAGTTTTGATCCTTAAAAATGACTTTTCATCATTTAAGTCCTTTTTTTCTTTTTCTTTAATTCTGTTTCTACACCCATTTTCCTAAAAAATTCCCAAATGTTGTGTTTTTTCACTCATCTTTGCTAAACCTGTCAGCTTATTACTTCTTGGTGATCTTGCTTAGAGGAGAGGGAGTAAAGCAGGCAGAGCCAAAGCACCATTTTTCCTCCTATCCTCAGCTCTTTGGTTAGTAAGGCTAATATCTGTTGCAAAGACCTGTCACTTTTAGAAACACTTTCTGCATTGTTGAAAGTGTTCACGTGTGTGAAAGACTGACTGCATAGAATGGGGAGGAAGAGAACAGATGGGGGGGAAGGGAAATGAAGTAAGTGCAACACATGGAGACTGACAAACCATAATGACGCAGATTTATTTTACACTAGCTGATGCCATGAGCATTCCAGGGTAGGCCAGGAGAAATATAAAATAGAAAAAAAAATATTTTATACTATTAACACAATATAAACTTTTCCCTTTAACTTGAAAAGTAATTTGAAAGTGCATACTGGGAAATTTTACATGCAGTGAAGAATTTAGGGCCAGCAGCACATGATGGAGTTAATGAGGTGGTAGGTCTGTGAAAAGCTCTATATTTTCTGCTACTGTAGAGCTTAGCAGAGAGGCCAGATCTACTGTGGATGTGAGAGCCCAGGCTGCTATTTAGTTTCTGCAGGAACAGGACATCTGGATTAAAAGTGAGGTTGGAGGGAGGGTTGTTATGTGGGCTATGAGATGGAAGCTGAGCAAGGGTTAAGAAGAAGTTTATAGCGGTGCAGTGGGAGAAGCAGTGAGAATTCAATGCATCCTGATTTGAGCTAAACCATTCTGTTCAGTGTTTTTACTTTTCAGCTCACTCTCTAAGTGACTGCGCTTTCTGAAGGTAACAGCATGTTTCTGCAGACAGTGTCTGCAACTAGAAGCGATAATGCTTGATACATACTGTTACCGCCAGGGATTGGTATGCAGAAAGGCTCTTGCTTATACTTGCTGCTATAGTAACCAAGGTCACTGCCAAATCTTGTGTGACACTTTGGAATGCTGGGAAGTGAAAAAGTTGCACCTTCAGGGAGGAGCAGACAGGATGGGTGACCCATACCTGACCAACGAAAGTATTTCATTCCATATACATCATATTTAGTATAAAGCTTGAGGGATCATGGGGGTTATGCCCTCTTCTTCAGTGGCCAGGATGCATGCTGCTTCTGTTGTTGAACCTGATCCTGAGTTCCTGAATCAGCTTCCGTTTCCAGTTCCCCTCTGCTGCTGAGTCTGAGACTTCCCCTGTACCTGCCCATTCTGCAGCATCAGTGGTGATTGCTTTTGGGGCGAGGGTTGGATTCGATAGTTGTTTTGTATGTATTTTATTATGTCCATTATTTTCTTATTAGTACTATTACTGTTTTATTAAAGCTGCATTAGTTTTCTTCACCGATCCATATGTCTCTCTGCCTGATTGTCTTTTACTTTCCCCTTTGGGGAGGGAGACTGTTTATTAGACTTTAGTGTCTCACCCAGCCCTAACCCTTGACACAAAGACTGCTGGGAGACAGCTAGACCCAGTTGCATGAGCCCTTTCCAAAAGGAACTTGATCTTTGGAGAAGAAACTCAGAAAGGTGATCCTCTGATATGTGCAGTGTGGGAAATTCTGTAGTGAGAACTGCTCCATGGCTTGGAAATGCCACTTGCACTTGAGTCTTCTTGAACTCTTCTGTGGTATAATTTCTAACCTGCTTGCATAAGAGCTGATACAAGATAATAGAGTGAAGCGTGGCTGGGGGTAGTTAAGTTTTTCTAGAATGAATGGTATTTTCAGAGAGGGATGATGCTTTTGATGTGTGAAAGGAAGCTGAGATAATCAAGAAGGCAATATAGGCAATGGCAATATGGTAATATATGCCATCTGCCTACTCCTGCTAACTGATTTTAAATAGTTTTAAAATAAACCTTGTAACAGTGAGCTAGTGCTTGTGCTCCTGAGGAAGCCGCTGCCTTTTCAGGGTCTGTGTTTACGTGTGTGCTCAATGCATGCTCTTTGGGGAAAGGAATGGGACTTTAAGAGCTGAGCCTTATTTCATTCAGTGGCAGCAGGTGGCAGGTTTGCAGCTCTGTTCCTATCTTGATGATTAAATTGTATTTAATGCATTCTTTGAAGCGAGGCGGAAAATAATATGAGCAGTTCTCAATGCCCTTTCATGAAAGAATGTGTCCCAGCTGGTGGGCTCTCCTTGTTCAGGAGACTGCCTGGGATTGTAATAGCAGCCACAGTCACAGTGGGGCAAAGAGAAAGTGTGACACAGCTATCAAGCTCCCTTTTAACTTCTTTTTCTTTCAATCAGTACTAATGAGGATAGCATGTGGGAGGAGAAGGGAGTGTGTGAGTTTATAATCTATGTTATAATCTAGACCCCAGTTAAATAGTGTGTGGCAAATGATGTGGGTTGAGATTGTCTGGGTGGTTTTATGGATAGTGTTGGATGGGATTAGAAGGCACATCTATTCCTCATGCTGTTGCTATCTGTACAGGCTAGAAAAGTAAAAATGTTCCAAATGAGGAGGAAGTGTAGAGAGAGACCCTGGACTGGTCTGCTGGGAACATTTTCTCAATCATATAAGAAAGCTCATAAGCACAAAATACCTTATTTTTTAATGACTGCAGAACAGCCATTTTTGTTGGGAGTCTTGCAGCTAGCTCTCTGCTGAGTGTAAAGGCAAAATTTCTCTGGAGGGAAGCAGAGATGTGGAGTCAAACTCTTTGCTTAAAAGGCCTGCTAAGATATTTGGACAAGATACATCCAGGATATGGCACATACTGTCCAAGGGGTCCTGAGATTCTTGTGAAATGTGGAAAATGAGAGAGGCAGCATGAACTCCAGCACTGTGTAGTGTTCTGTGTGATATATGATATAAGAGGAGTTTGGCATTGTTCGGTAGAAAAGTGTGCAGGTGTTAATGGTGACAAAAGTGGATTAGGTGTGTTTTGTGTAAAATGCATCATAGGAAATTTCCATTTAAAAAAATATCACTAAAACCTTTTCTCTTTAAAGTTGCTTCAGTTTTGAAATCTGCCAAACTACATCTCCATGTCTCTCTACAACTATGCCCCTAACTATAACCAAAGTTTTTAGTGAGCAAAGCAAGGCTGAATTATGTATATAGGAAGAAGAAATGAAGAAGGACCCCCAACAGGTTTCCTTTTTCTGGCAGCAGGAAGAGAAATGAGTGATAGGAGAACTATTTCTAGTTCTAAAAAGTGAAAACAAAAAGCGAGGTGGAGAAAGAAGTTTTAATAAAAAGGTTATAAACTCCAAAGTCTTCCTCTCCCCCAAAATAGCAGAGCTCTTTGATCTACAATATATATTCCTGTCCCATTTGTTACATCTCATAAGCATTCATTTGTTTTCTTGTTTAGCCGGAGTATGCAAATGTTTGCTTTTGGTACATTCCACCAAGCTTAAGAAAAATCGAGGATGGACCTGAATTTCAGCAGAAGCTACACCAGGTGAGTGTCACATGGACAATGTCATCTGTAGCTTACTGATTTACATGTGCACCATATAAGAATGTGAATTAGCTTGCCATTGGCTTTGCTTGCCATTAACCTACCATTAGAATTGGAATTAATCCTTAAATAGATGTTGGTAGGATTGAAGTTTGTTTTCTGTTTAGACAGGGCTGGGGTTTTGTTTTGTTTTTTTTCTTAATGTAAGAGATGCAGGCATTTACAAGTATTCAGCTTGCTATCAAAGCTGTTAGCAGCTGGCAGAACTGAGAGAAGAGGAACAGTTGTCTGCATCTCCTTTCTAGATAGAGTATTCATTACCTGTTTCAGACACTTAATACTGTCGTTGGACTTGTTTTGCATTATCTATGATAATCTATGATAACGCAGGTGAGTAAGTGCTTTAGAATATATTTCAGATGTTAAGCAACTCATAGATGACAAGAATACAGTGGGAAAAACTTTATTGATGAGTTTTTTGGTAACTCTCTGCCATCCCAGTAGAAAATCATGAACATCTCAAAAAAAGCAGCTGTAAAATTTTGAAGTTACTGTTGGGAAATCTGTAGTTAAGACTTAATTAAGAAGCCAAGAGACACCATGGTATTATGTTTTACTGAATAAGCTATTGAATTTAATTCATTGTTTGCTCCATTCTCTAGCAGCTTTGATGTTCTGCATTTTTTCCTACAATTTGCTACTATAAATTTAAAGTCTAACATAGATTTGTATGCCATATACATGCTTGCATATGGTGTACATACTATATGTACATGCTATACAGACTATATATACATGCATGCTTTCTATAACATTTGCTCTCCTTTCATCAGCTTTCATTTTGCAGGAAATGTGTTCAATTTATGCTGGATGCTGGTGTCTTTAGGGATGAGGTCTGCCTTAACCCTGTCTGTATTGTTTGGAAAGTGTCTGTAACTTCTACAGTACAAAACCATGAATAGGTGTAGTGTGGATACAAGGGCTTCGCATTTGCTGTGCATGGAAGAGTTACGATTCTCTCATACTGGGCTTTCGTTCCTCTCATTTGAGTGAAGGATTATGTGTATATATAGATATACACACATACCCCTGCATAACAGCTCCTCTATGCATGGAGGAGTGAGATTCGGAAAGGAGCAATGAGAAGAAGTAATGCTGCAACTGCCACTGTTTGATTTAATTGTGCTATGGAAGGGACGGAAGAGGGAAGGACAACATGGCTTTGAGCACTTACAATGTAAGTGGCTTATTGAGTGTAACTTACTGGTTCTGTGCTCTGCTGCTCTATGGTGCTTCCAGTTGGGGTGGGGGGGAATATGTGCCTAGCTTTATTTTATGTACTGATATGGGTAGACTGATGCTGGAAAGGCAAATTTTGTGGGAGAAAACTTGGCGGGAGCTTGCGTGCCACTTCTCCCAAGAACTGACCACTGCTGCAGATCTCAGTCACTCATTCTTATGAGTAATGTGGCATTTTCTTGATTCTTATGCTGCCTCTAATGAAGCACTAAGAAATCCCAAATCCTAAAACATAACCTGTTTCCTTCCTTCCTACAAAGGCCTGAAAAAAAAATCCACCACAAACCAGACCAAAATTCCCTAGCAAAGCAAGGCACTGAATGGCACAAATTTCTCTCCCAGAGGAAAAAACAAATGACCGTTGTTAGGTGTGTTGCTTTAGACACTTCTAGGACGTTCTGGACACAAAAAAAAATGAGCTGGGTGCACAACTAAAACATATTATTTCACCTCCCTGATTCTCTACAAGGGCAGGTCTTGGGTTGCTTTGCTTTTTAGTTGCTGAGGACTAGTTTGGGGCACAACATATATCAGTGAGCAGATGAGATGACAGCACCAGGTGACAAAAAATAAAGACTGACATGACTCCCAGCTAGTATCAATTTTTTCTAACATTGCTAATGTAGACAACATAGTCATTATATTATATTAATCAGTAGAAATACCTGGCTGGGGAAGAAGGAATGCATCCTGATCAGCAAGGTCTAAGTGATAAGATGAAGACTGCAGAGAATCACAGAATTATAAAGATTGGAAAGGACCTTTAAGATCATCTAGTCCAACCTACAGCCCTACACCACCCTAACACTAAACCATCTCCTGAAGTGCCACATCCAGCTGTTTTTTAAACACATCCAGGGAAGGTGACTCCACCACCTCCTTTGGCAACCCATTCCAATGTTTCACCACCCTTTGGTGAAGAATTTTTCCCTAATATCCATTCTAAACTTCCACTGGTGCAACTTGAACCTGTTCCTTCTTGTCCTATCACTATTCACTAGGGAGAAGAGGGCAACACCCGTCTCACTACAGCTGCCTCTCAGGCAGTTGTAGAGAGCAATAAAGTCTCCCCTCAGCCTCCTCTTCTCCAGATTGAACAGCCCCAGCTCCCTAAGCCTCTCTTCATAAGACTTACCCTCTAGTCCCCTAATCACCCTGGTTGCCAGAGGTGGTTGCATTATGCCACTGATGGGCAGATGGGGATGTGTACACTTTCTTGACTGCAAGCACTTCCTGAATATCCCATCATTTCACTAAAAGGAGCATTAAAATTCTTTAATTCACAATTGGTCTTTTTGCACAACATTTTGCATATCTGACAATAATTAAGGAAACGTATCTTCAAAATCCCTTAAGTAATTGATTTTATTGAACTGCTTGTTCAGCAATATTGTTCAGAATAACATGCTGTCTTCTAAGGATAGCTATGAGTTTTAGTGCTGGTGAAAGCTAATAAGCAAGTAATTCTGATCTCAAGTCCTCAGCTTTGTGAAAAATTTACATAGTCCTGTGCAAAATAACCCTGAAGGTTTTCAACCGGCTCTTCCCCAGCTTCCATGGCCCACTTTGTGGAAATGTGTCAGGGCTGACTGAATTGCAGTGGTACCCGGTTCTGATGTCAGTCTTCTAGCTGTCCTACAGAAACTGTGTCTCAGAAGCTTGTGCTTTGTTTTCTTCCTCTCCTGCAGTGTTTGTTTGTTTGTTTTTTTAAAATTCTGGGGCCTTGGACTTCAGGTAGAAAACTTGCTCTCTTCAGAATCTCTAACATGTAAATGAGAAAGGCAATAGGAAAAGTGTGACAGCCACTAAGCTCATCATTTGACTTGACACCTGAGTGTTTTAGGGCAAGAGAAACACCATCACCGTGAGGACGTAAAGATCGGCATAAATGGTACGTTACTGTGTAACCCAGGGAAACTGGGAGTTCTGTGCACATCCAGTCTTACGTCTTCGTCTTTTGGGATGATACACAGCAGG